TCAATATTTTTACGTTAATACAAATATTTTTTGACTAAAATTTGTTTTCACTTAAAGATCATCTGTCGGTAGATTTTGGACTGGAGTTAAATGGTACGTATATAATTGTTATTTATGTAAAATGTTAGATACAGTACCCTGACATGAACCAACACTGGCAGATATACGACGGATACTTGTTGCTGGGTCATCTTCAACAAGATTTAATATCTCTTCATCCTGCTGTAAATCTCGAACCATAGGTCGTCCATTGACTCTTTTTGGGCGAAAACTTCCGGTTTCTCTTAATCTGCTGAATAGACATGAAAACAATTTTTGGTTGGGCTATCTACGATTAAGATACAATTCGGTTTAACTTCTTGCTGAAGCGCGTCATATCGGTCATTTCACTGTTTGAGAAAAAGTTATGTGGCAGCATTGTATAAAAATTATGAATTTTATCACTCAAAACTCTGATGCTTGTATGCAAGACTAATCCTGACAGTGCTACAGTAAACGCCAAATCTAAAGAACCAAGGACGCGCATTTATAATGCTACAAATACGCCTACCGATGAATACAATTGGTAGCTTACCTAGAAAGTTTTAAACCAGGGGCGCGTATATTTTAAGACATAAAATAAATGGAAAATAGTGAATGATGCTGGTTTATACATATTGCTTAGTGTTATTACTAATACATAATTCTATAGTCAATTAAAAAATCATTATTTTTAGGTAAGCCGACTTTAGGTTAAGAAGAGCTCGGGTGATCTAGTATTTTGTATTTTAACTCACATTCATTTTTTTATAAACAAAATATGAAATAATATGTGTATGAAGTAATATATCCTTCCGATTTTTTATACCGCGTCTTCATTTCAAAACTGGATAGTCTAAATAACTTCTGATTTTACGTAAATTTAAGAAAAACAAAAACATGTTTAATTTTAGATTATATAGCCTATAAGTAAATACAAACAACGTAAACAGTAAATCACAAATAAATAATGTTCATGTCTTCGTCAGATTCTTCGTTGTAAGAAGACTTGTCACTGTCGTCACTGGAATCTTCATTAGGATTAATGATGATAGGATTAATTTCCGAACATAAATTATTTTGTGTTTTTCTCCACTTAAATTGTTTTTAAGGACTCTCCTTAATGAAGTTTCTGATATGTGGATATCTAAATCTTCCGTAATTGTATTATTTAACCTTTTAACAGTAACTTCGTCAATTTTTGGATCTATTTTCTTGCAAATCTCTCTGTATATTCTTTTTCTATTTGGATTTACCAAGGTTTCTCCAAATTCCAGTTTTCTTGTTACCTGCAGAAGTTTTACATATTCTGTCAATGGTTTCAGTAGGTATGTGATGGGATAATATAATAATTTTGGTGTCGTCAGGTCTTGTTTCTTTTAAATATTTTTGTAGACCTTTTTCGCTTCCTTTATTGCTGTGATGTATTTGTACTTCTCTTTCTACCTTCTACCTTTATAACATGATCGCATCGCTTTTTTCATTTTTCCATACTGATTTTGTTAAATTCTTCTTCTGCTAATTGCTTTACGTCTTCTAATTTAAAGGTAACATTCCTTTGACTAACAATATTCTTAACAGTTGCCCAAATCAATTTGATAGGTTTTAAGTCGGGGTGATATGGGGGTAACCGTAAAGCGGTGTGGCCGTATTCTCGACACAACTCATCAAATGCATATGTTACAATGTCGGTTCTTATGAGATTTAATCAGTTTATATAACTCTGGTTTCAAACTTGTTGGATTAAAAGGTATGTTGTATTTTGTCAACCATTCGATCATATCATTCTTCAAAGAATTAGAATTAGGTGCTCGATTTACTGTACATTATGATAACTAGCATTATCACAAACAATTACTGAATTAGGTGGAAGATTAGGTATTAACTTCTCTCTTAACCATTTGCCGTAATTTTCCGAATTTATTTCGGAATGATAATCTCCCGACTTGGTCCCTGATTTGAATATCAACAAACTATTTTTGATAAAACCCATTTCTCCCCCACCGTGAACTATAATAAGCCTTTGGCCTTTAGAAATAACAGAAAACAAACCTTTTGTTGAATCGTCTGTCCAATTCTTGGAAGAAGTATGTCCGCTGTGTATCCTTTTTCAGTGCAGACGAATAATCCACAAGAAGTCTCAATAGTTTTCGTTTAAGATGTATATACTTCTCTTACATACAGTATGGTTCAAATGAAAGGAATAAATTCATTATAATGGAAGTAGTTGGTTTTTCGAAAAAATGGTCGGACAGGTCAATTTTGTTTACTCAAAGCGCAGATTTTTAAATAGAATTCAATTTTCCCCCACTTCCCTTTTTTGGGCAGTGACGTCATTGACAATTTTTTTAAATAGTAACCCCAATTTTTTTTTCTTGATTTTGTTAGATCTTGCAATTTCCTACTCGGAAACATAATATTTGAAATATCTTACATAACAATTTTTTTTGAATAAAAGTCATTTAAAGATTAGACACATAAATTTTATTTTATTTTGAGAATACAATAATTGAATAAAAGATAATTATTTGTAATTAAGTGCTTAATCTAACAAAATAATAATAATAAAAAAGTATTTGTGAAATTGTCAATAAATTCTTTTTATTATTTTTTTTTTTTAGATGAAGCACTTAATAACAAATAATTTTTTATTCATTTATTGTGTTTCAAAATAAAATAAAATTTATGTATCTGATCTTTCAAACTTTTATTCAAAAAAAATTGTTATGTCAGGTATTACAAATATTATGTTTCCGAGTAGGAAATTGCAAGATCTCTCAAAATCAAGAAAAAAAAATTGGAATTACCATTTAAAAAAATTGTCAATGACGTCACTGCCCAAAAATAGGAAGTGGGGGAAAATTGAATTCTATTTAAAAAATTGCGCTTTAAGTAAACAAAATTGACCTGTCCGAGCATTTTTTCAAAAAACCAACTACTTCCATTATAATGAATTTATTCCTTTCATTTGAACCATACTGTATGTCTCCAAAAGTAGAAGTTGTGAGACGAGATTTTTTCCTCGAACCATTTTGGGTTACTACTCTGACCTCTTGTAGATTGTTTAATTCCATCAGCTTCAACAATAATAGTCCTACTTGTTGGTCTATTAGTTTTTTTATTTGTTCTTTGCGAAGGTCGGTTTTGACAATGTATTACATAATCTTTTTTAGGGTTTGAAGTTTGAACTTCTGTAGCAAACAGTCTTCTTCTACATTTTTTTAAATTGACGTTTTCCTTGGTTCTTTTATTTACCAATTTTCTTTGGTATGCTAAACTCGCACCATTGCATCTTATATTTAAAACTATTTCTACAGCCGTAAAAAAACAAGGAATGTAATTAAATTTATTATTTTACATTTTGTTACCCACATAATGAATAATGAAATTGGCTCATAGCTTTTTTCCAAATTTTTGGTCCTAATTACAACCTACTGGATTTCTTATTTTGGAGACATTGCTTAGATTTTGCCAATAAAATTCTTTTGCGAAAAAATGTTGCTAATATTTTTTAAACGAAATTGTAAAAGACGTAGAAGTAGAAGAATGCCACGTAGAACATTAACTTTAAACTCGTTATTTTTATTAGAAAGAGGATAATTTTCTGACCATAGTACATGTCCTTCAATTTTTTTAAATTTTGACCGTTACTGCAATAGAATTTAGAATTTATTCAGAAACATATGTGGTGTTAAATTAATAAAAATATAAAATTGACTGATCATTCCAAAGACGTTTTATTTGTTTATGAAATATTTTATTAAGTTATTTTGTTTATTATTCGAATTTACAAATTTGTATAATTTTAATTATTTAAAAACATTTTCAGATTGTGAAGTGTTTAATTGCGTGTTTCTCGAAAACGGTTAAAATTATTAACAAGTATAACAGTTTTACACATAAATTTTGTTTATATCATATTCTCTAATCAAAATAACCTAGAAGTTTCGGTTTGACTTAATTTTTTCATTATTAGGAATCGCTCATTATCAGAATGTAAAAAATAAATGAAATATTCTTGTATAAAGTTATGCCTCTGGGACAATTTTAATAATGATTTATTAATATCTTGTAAAATTATTACCAAAAAACGAAATATATTTTAACTTTAACACCTGCTAGGGTGGTTAGAACGATAATTCAAAACCTATAACTGATTATTCCGAAAGTTTATTGTCCAGCTAAATTTCAACGTTCAACGTCAACCACTAATAGTAAACAACGTAATTAGAGGCAAATAAATTCTATCCTAAAATAAGACTTATGGTAAACCTGAAATTTTGACATTAGGATTCTTGTCCTTACACATATTTCTAACATCATTTTAAAAATTTTAAATTACAGTTCATATTTTTTGTTGTTTATAATCAGGCATGGATTTACCACTAGGCTCACTAAGCCCGAGCCTAGGGGCGCACGACACCAAGGGGCGCCCTGTCATAAAAAAAATCGATATCAATTTTTTTTAGTTTACATTTAAAAAAGATTCTACACATACTATTATTAGACCGTGTTAATTTTATTAGGCCAATGCTGACACAATTATATGTGAAGTATGTAAATTCGCATTAGAATCGTCACACAACAAACTGCGTAGCGGATGCGCCCTGCCCGCATTTGAAGGAAGCGTCCGCTTGACCAAATCTCAAGCCGCGCGCTTGACTATTATATGCGAGTGCCTCTACTGGCTGAGCTAGGTCCTATCCAGGCGCAAGCGCCACATCAACCTACCCCCTGCCATTACCACACGCGCCACTAAACTCTCTTGTCTCAGTCTGTCACCTGACCTCACGAGTTAGTTAGCCACTTGTCGTTGTCACTAGTCAAGTGCTTCGTCTTAAATCAGTACTTTGTTCGCATGTTTTCTAATGCTGATTTGCTGTTGTCTTAATATTCAACTTTTACAATGTGGTCCATACGGCATTACTTTGTTATTGGAAATAAGTATTTATTATGGTTAAAGTATTCATAAGTGTTTAATAATGAGCTTTAAATCAAAACCTAGTGGTGCAGAGTTTAGAAAAAGGCGCGAAGAAAAAGATGAGGAAAATGAAAAAGTTATTAAAAAAGTTTCTAACAGTTCCAACGCCGAAGAACTTGCTTTTGAACCCGATCTTGTACCAGAACTTCAAAATAAATCTGCTGATGCTGAAGACGGAGTTCATGTAGAACGTGGTAGAGGTAGTGCAGACTTCTTCAGTTCAGACCCGGCTTTATGGGACATAAGTGATGAACTAAGAGTTTATATTTGTGCCCAAAGTAGTGTAGAGCAAAATTGTGACTCCGATTTTAATGAATCCGTAGACCGTATCCAAATAAAATTCACTTTCTGTCTATGCCGATTGAGAGATTTATTTGTTTTGTGCCAAATGTTGGTCAAAAAACAGAAGAGATTGTAAACACAGTATTGGGCCTTTTTAAAAAATTTAATTTGGACATTTCCAATTGTAGAACACGCCTCGAATATGTCAGGCATTTACTCTGGAGTTCAAGCTCGTATCAAACAGCTTAGTCCTATGGCGGAGTATGTACCTGCGCATTCTTTAAACCTAATAGGCTCGTGTGCAGCTGAGTCATGCAACTTTTTTAGCGCTTCACCACATAGATGGACTATTTTGACGAGAAACTGTGCATTAAAGTTGCAAAACCTTTCAAAGACTCGGTGGTCTGCTCGTCACAACACCTGCCGAGCTGTTAATGAAAGCAGAGAAGTAATTTTAAAAAGTTTAGATGAAATTACTAGTGACTGTGACGAGAGGCACTCCACAAGAAATGAAGCCAGGATTATAAATAAAAAGCGAAGTTCCCTTGAGACAACCATTATGGCAGCACAGTGGGACTCAATTCTGGAAAGGTTTAACAAAGTAAATGTAAAGCTGCAGTACGAAACCACAGAGCTAGGAAAAATAGTTGCCTATTACGACTCTTTGTGTAGTTTTCTTCAAGAAGTAAGAAACAACAGCGAAATAGAAGTATAGGAGAGAGTGTATGGCTGATAATCGGCGCAAGAGGAAGGTATCTACTAAGTTTGGTGAATATGGTGGTCCTAGCAGTGATGATCAATTTACAGGGTCGGAGAACTTTCGTGTAAACATTTTTAACTGCATATTGGACTCCCTATACTCCGAAATTAAGAAAAGTGAGTGTAAATATTCTGATCTTCACAATAGAGAACTATTGAGTGCGTATCCCGAAGATCTTGAGCCTGTTGTTGTGGACGAGTGTTTACATTTAAAAGTATTTTTGTTGAAAAACACTGAAAATGAAAATATCAGAATGAGTATGATTGAAATTAGCAAGGTTTTGTATAATTTTGACATGGCAGATGTCTACCCTAACTTTGCCATTGCGTTAAGAATGGTTCTTAGTGCTTCAGCCACTAACTGTTCAGCAGAAAGATCCTTTTCCACCCTTCGTCGTGTGAAGAACTACCTAAGATCCACAACTAGCCACGACAGATTGATATCACTAGCCCTGTTCGCCATCGAGGGAAGACTGACTCAATCGATTTCCTATGATGACATCATAGACAAATTTGCTCGAAAGAAAGCAAGAAGGAAGGCTTTATAGGGTATTGTTTTATGTATTATATAGTTGCAGTTTTTATTTCGACCTAAAACTGATTGTAGTACTAACACACAAACAAAATTGGAAAAGGTAATTAATGTTTAATATTATAAATAATCAAAAAATTATCTTTAAATAAATGATTAGTTCGCTATTAACTCATTTAAACATGGTGCAAAATGAGATATTTATTAACTATCAATAAATTTTCTTTCAGACAACAAAATCCTTCTATCAGTGTATGATGGAAGGGGGGGGGGGGGAGAAATTACCATTTTATAACATTTAGATGACGAATGATAAAAATTTCCATCTGATACGAATGTCAGTTCTAGAATGTAAGTGATCTGCGCATGCTCAGATGTCAAAATAAGAGCGGCACTAATAGTGACTGACCTTAAGTGAACTTGCAATAACTCTCTATTAGCGGAAGTTTTTTTATGATTTAAAATCCAATAGTGAGGTAAATAGTTTTGTATATTCATAAAATATGAACGTATTGATTGTATCGCCATCTCGCGTTCGCGAAACGAAAAAATGCAGGTCCATTTAAACCTTAATAATAGTAGAAGAAAAGTACTTTAATTCTTTGAGAGCATAAAGTCATACACAGGTGTTAAGCTGTTGCATTTGAAATAACACATTGTAGATGCTCTGATTAGAAAAGTATAGAGCAGTAAAGAATACAGAAAAGCCATAAAGTACCACTCTGTAGAAATATGCAGTTTTAATTGCTGCCAGTTCAACACCGTACTATAATTATGGGATTTAAATTTTTTATTTGCAGCCATGTAATCTGAATTGTAAATGGGGAAATGGAAAATTCGAAAATATAGTCGATCGGTATACTAGACGGTGAAAACGTTTAATTAACTTCCACCACTAGGTCTGAATTATTGGCATTTTAATAAAATTTCTGTTGTACTGTGTATTGCTAAAGGCGGGTATGAATATGGAGAGGCGCGCTTGAAGGAGCCAATAACGAGCCCATTTTTTTTTTAATACCTTAAAGTTTATGAATTCATGACAATTCTAAAATGAGTTCTTTTACTATTACAAATTAAAATATATGAAATATAACGTTTTTTCACCTATAAATACATCTTACATGTAAGGTCTGTTTGTTGGTTACATTGTTAAAATAAATTTTGATCTGCAGGGTCTTTATTGCAAACTGTATTTCAACAAAATTTACATGCATTACGAGTCTTCCTTTGTTTGTGGTATAACTCTCGACACATTTGACATTTACCAATCACCATAATATACCCTGAGCATTGTTTTGGTGGTTCTCCAGCTAAAGTAACAATGTGCCGCTCGATTATTTGCCAACCATGAACTATTTCTAGAAATGACGTGTGAAATTATTACTAAAAACTTTGTGAATATAGAATTGTATAGGTCATCAGCAAGCTCGTTTAGAAATCTACGTTGATAAGTTGCTCTAAAATTTGGATTATGTTCCTTGTAAACGATGTTCATCGAGTTGAAAAAATTTAAAAAAGACTAATGAGCAACGATTTGTTCTACGTTTCACCTCATACTAAAGCTACATTTTCCTAGACGCAGTCGCACCGCGTGTTCCGCAGCATTGAACGGAGTCCGCTTGCGTAACACCGTTGTATAAAGATATTATAGTAGGATAACCTTATGAAAATATCATTGGATGACGAAGGATATAGAATAAAGATGGCGACACTGTATTTACATCCAAGTCAGGTCTTTAGGCCATGTCTGTGCTTAAGTATTAATTATAATTTAAAATCTTCTTTTTCATTTCTACTTGTCTTCGGTAATGTATTTTTATAGTTACAATTTACTATTGCAAGTTATTACAAAAGGGTATTTGAAGGTCACATAAAATGCCAAAATAATCAATATATTAAAATAAACCAGTTTTTGTTTGAAAAAGATTGAATGAGATGAGATTGGGTGGAATTTTACTATAATAGGGAACATTTTGTTCTATAATAGCTTTGTTCGCGGTAAGAATCCTGAACCGAATTATTACTAATAGTAACGATTTCGCAGGCGCAATAGTTAAAAAGCATTCGCGGAACAAAAAGAACTGAACTAATGATTCCTATTCTGCGTTCGCGGTAAACTATTATTCATTTTGAACCGCTTGTATATACCTGAAACACCGAGATATAATAGGGATTGCTCGCGCGGTAAAAATTCAGAATTGATAATGATTCGGGCATGCGCTCAAAGTATGAATTAGTAATTCTGAATAAGTTCAGGATTGTTACCGCGAACGAAGATATTGTGGTTGAAAGTTGGATTTTGTAATGATCGCTGATGATTAATTAAAACTTAAGTTTTACGCTGTTTGGGAACTGGTCTAACTGCTGCAGGAGAAATATGTGATGATGACAATTTTAGCTTTGGAGATAACTCAGGGCTCTGCGAAGTAGAAGGAACTCTGTTATCGTATCCAGAGGTTAAATTTATAGAATTCTCTAAATCAGGAACTAAAAAAAGTATAAGTAGTGGCCTCATTAAGTCGGGAGGTAGTAGGTCGATTTAAATAACCAGATGTTGAAGTAGTTGGCTGGAAGCGCATCAGGAGGAGTAGTAGGTTTTTTTAGGTTCTATTGGCACTAGTTGAAGAGTCCCAACAGTGGAAAATGGCTGGTTATCTACTTGTTCTACTAGAGCTTCAGGTGCGAGTGGCGGAGGCCGATCAGTAACACTTGCCGATAAAAAATCGTTTTCACTAAATATATTTCTGTTAAAAGGTTCTATGCCGGTACACTGAAAACCTTTAATACAAAGCTTCTCGGGCCAGTCCGGGTATGTCGTTGATAGTCATTGATTTACCCGGATCATTTCGCATCCAAGTATCATGTTCAGAAGATATATATTTTTTAAAGGCCCGTACACAGACCTGTCGAGTGGTTGCAAACGGTGGAAACAATGGGGAGGGAATGAAAGCAATACCATCCCACATTTTTCTTGGCATATTCAACGGTCTTATAAGACGTGTGAGAGTCGTGGTTGTCTATTAATAGTAGGACTGATTTTTTATTGGAGGGTCGAACATCTGAAACAAAGTGCTGAATAAACGTGTAAAACTCCCTAGCTGTCATCCAACCGGACCCATTGCCAGCATCAATGCAACCTGAAGGACCATCTTGGATAAAGTGATCTTGATTTCCGATAGCACTTACTGCAATGCAGATTGTTACTAAGAATTCTCGCTCTCTAGAAGTTATGTCTCCAACTTATTTGGTTCCTTTTTTCCGCTATAACTTTTCCTATTCTTTGTACAGTCAACAAGCCAGTCTCATCTAAATTCCATATATCGGATAACGCAAAATTAAATCTGCCACGCACATCACCTAACTTGTCAAAAAACAACTAACGTTGAATTTTTTGAAGTTTGTAGCCCTTCCAACACTAGTAGCCTCAGGAACACGAATAGAAAGCGTTGGATATTTTTTAGAAAACTTGTTAGTCAGTCTTCTCCAGCAGCTTGTTTTATTTTCCACGGCTCTTTTGCCTAACTCGCCTAACATATCTGGAGAGAGTAACACGACAAATATTAGCATCTTTGGCCACTGATCTAATCAATTATTATTATGTAAAACTCTATTAACGGTGTTCTCCATCACCTCTTTGGGCGTCTACTCCCTCTCACTTTTTTCTTGTAGTTCCTTATACTGAAAATAAAAAACAATTATAGCACGGAGTATCTTGTAAAACATTACAATGTACCCCAAAAAATTTGTTACATCTTACCCCAACGTACAATCCCAAGAATAATAAGAAATATACAACATAAAAAAGAGCTAAACAAAATGACTTACTTGCTAAATGATTGTCGAGACCACGTATTCTTTTAGAAATGTAATATTTTTTTACTACTGCAAGGATGAAGAAGATATTTAAAAATATTCCATACCTCAAAAAGTTACTTTGGCAATAAAATTAATGTTTTTTACGTATCGGTTGAACCGCGACGTGCTAACACCTCCGCACTTCGAAAGCTACTGAAGCATTCAGAAGAAGGTTGATACACGAAATCATAGTCCTGACGTATCATTCTGTTGGTTGCTACGGGCAATGTTACCACCTGCCCCGTGTTACAACCTGCCCCGGTCCCTCCTACCTAATATTGACAGTTTACTATTTTTTATATTAAAGTAATTTCATATTCCTCGTCACTAAGGTATAGAATTATTGATTAATCCCTTTAGGTTTGCTCATTTACATTTTATGATGTATTGTATTTGAGATTTTTCGGGGTGGTCATACTAAAATCTAGTAAAAATTCAGGTAAGAAGGTATCAATGTTTCCTATTTTTCTGCTTTGAACAATCCTTTATATCTACCTTTGCCATAAAATCTGTACTATCATACATTTTTATAAACTATATCTTGGAAAATAAAACAAAAAACTACGTACAAATAAATTGAAAATTATTTATTTTAAAGAAATATTATTATATTATATCTAATTTAAATCAGGCGAGCAACAAAGGTGTCAAGTTTTTCGCTAGGCGAGCGACAAAGCTGTCACTTTATATCAGTTCGCGGAAAACGTCAAATTTGCGGTTGTATTTCGAAGCGCAAATGCCTACTTTGGATAGTGCCGTAGAAAAAAGTAATTTTATTAATAATGGGAATATTTTCAATAATTTTGTTTAATCTTTTTTCTTTCCGAATTAAACTTAAATTTAATACAGGGGTAATATTTTTTTAACCGTTTTTGTCAATTTGAAATATTCATAAGGATCCCTCATAAATTTTAATCGTCGTCTATGTGACACGATAATTGCATTATTCGTTTAAAATTCACCGATTTGTTTTCCAGCCAATTTTTTTCCTGAATCTGAAATGCAAATCAACTGGAATTGGTTCGGTTTTCAATAAATCAATAGTCAATGATGAAAAAAACAAAAAAAAAAATCGGGACACGGTTTCGAAGTAATCCTTTCAATCGCTTAATAAATTCTAAAATGTGTGATAGAGGGTTTCACTTAGATAAAATCCTAAAA